GTTACACACACAAAAGTTCACAACAATTCACTCACTCTCTATCGCGCTTAGACTTAATTGTCCGTCCCCGCAAACTATAGTTTCTGTTATCCTCAGTTCCCGCCGACCGTAATCACTGTCTTTCTTTCTCTCTGCCTGCTTCGTCTCCGTTACGTCTCTGTCTCCACTACTGCTTCGACTCCGTCTGTCTCTCTCACTGTCTAGCGCACTTATATACGATAATATTGCCTGTTCTAGAAACTTCTAAGACTCTCAACACGTGCTACCAGTGTCAATTGACTCCCGCTGTCGCAACACACTAGCGAATCTTCTAGAATATTCGTCACGTGACCCCCACTGTCGTAACAGTATTATTTCCTCTTGAAATCTGGCATTTATTTTCTTTCTGTCTCTTTCAACAATGTGAGATTTTTGGTTTGAAGAAAATGCGTTTCAATGTGCATGATATCGAAATAATCCACGAGTACTGTCCAGAATAGCGCGTGCTTGCAATAGCAGTTAGAGAATGACAGCAAACACAAGCAATAACTTATGAAACATCCTATACTACGTCCAAACACAAGCAATAACTTATGAAACATCCTATACTACGTCCGAACATTCTCGAAGAACTGTATGACACTCAATGTGGATCTGGCAAACGGCATTTTCCCCGAGTCAAATAGTGTTTAAGATACAGTCATTTCAAATATGGGGTTTCTTTATAATTATATCGTATGTTTGGTTCACGTGACGTTGGTTTGAAAATCATTACTGGTCATGAGAGTGAGTCGGGTAGTCTTACTATATAACGGACGGTTCGACAAGGTATATCATGAACTTTTCTGGGTCTAACTGAGTTTAAAACAGAAATGTACAAAAACACAAACATAATCAAAGTAATGTATGTGTAGAGACTGAGGGCTTGAGTTTGAGATAGAGGAGAAAAAATGAGTTAATGTTTTGTTTGTTTGTGGTACAGATTTTGAATTTAATACTTTGGGTGTTCGGAAATTAAAAACAAATTCTATACCCTCTCGTAATATAAGATACATTACAACGCCAAAAAAAAAAAGACCAAATAAAATAGCGTGGTATGGATTTTTGGTTTAATAGTTGGGGTAATTCAAAGACTGGGTCAAATGCCCATAAATATATATAAACAAATATAAGGCCGAACAGAGGAGGAAGGCTGTTTCGTTCAACTGTAAGTGGCCAGAATTATTAGATCAAAGACGAGAGTAGGCCGAGAAAACCAGATCGTTAATTGTCGTCAAAATTACGGAAGAAGTAATTACAAGAAGTTATGAGTGAAAGAAAGTAGAACAGAATATAACAATATATTAACAACACTTTCAACTGGTGGCAGGATCTTTCACCTATTATCAGGGTTCGTCGGATACGACAGATATAACAGTGGTCTAGGCTTAATATATATATATATATATGTTACTAATATATTAACAACACTTTCAACTGGTGGCAGGATCTTTCACCTATTGCCAGGGTTCGTCGGATACGACAGATATAACAGTGGTCTAGGCTTAATATATATATATATGTTACTTGACTAACAACCGTACCGTTGTCAACAAACTCGTAATAATATTAATAAATTAAGGCATCTTGTAATAAATAAATCAAAACTCAAACACTGTATTTCATAAGTTAAACACTGCATAAAAATAAAAACTTTCAAAATTACCTTACAGAGTCAATGGTTTGTTTGTAATTAAGCACAAAGCTATACAATGGGCTATCTGTGCTCTGCCCACCACAGGTATCGAAAGCCGGATTCTAGCGTTGTAAATCCGCAGACATACCGCTG